AAGGTGGAGACGGCGCTGCCGCCCGTGACCCGCTGCCGGCGGCCGCGTCCGGGAGGTCGGCGGGGGAGGCAGGATCCTCTCTTGGAGGCCGGGCGGGAGTAAGGGCGGCAGAGGGCGACGCCGGGCGGGGAGCTGCGGCGGGGCCCTAGACCGCGGGAGTCTCGGGCACTTGCTGGCGTGTGCTGGGGCTCCAGAGGCCGCCGGCGCGTGGACGGCCGGCGTCAGGCCTGAGCGGTGGGAGGGCTCAGCCGGGGCCTGGCCCTCGGGTTTCCCACCGCGAGGGCGGAGCTGCGCTGGAGCCCCCTCACTTGGAGGGCCGAGGGCCCCTGTGGCACGCAGGCCGTTTCTCTGAGGGGATTGGAAACGTGGCGCGATGAGGAGCCGGAGTAACTCTGGGGTCCGACTGGATGGCTACGCTCGGCTGGTGCATCAGACCATCCTGTGCCATCAGGTAGGTGAAGGGGTGTCGCCTGTAATCACCGAGGGTGTGCAGTGTGATAGCCCAGACGGAGACGGCTGGATGAACCCCCCACCGTGTGTGTGTGTGTGTGTGTGTGTACGTACCAGGTTCTCTCGCCCCCTAGCTGGGGAAGCCTTAGAGGACCCTGAAGAAAAGATAGGTGTTGGGCTTGGGCCGAGAGCAGAACTAGGGTCAAGCACCGTTAGCGGGGAGCCCTGAGCCTTGGCTTCTAAGCCCTGCCCTTCGCCCCCTCCGCCGTCCCCCAAGTCACAGCAGGGTTCCAGGGGGGCACAGTTGAAAGACGTGTTGAAGGGGAGCCTGGGTGGCTCAGTCGTTAAGCGTCTGCCTTAGGCTCAGGTCATGATTCCAGGGTCCTGGGATCGAGCCCCGCATCGGGCTCCCTGCTCGGCGGGAGGTCTGCTTCTCCCTCTCCCATTCCCCCTGCTTGTGTTCCCTCTCACTGTCTCTCTTTCTGTCAAATAAATAAATAAAATCTTAAAAAAAAAAAAAAAAGAAAAAGAAAGAAAGACGTGTTAAAGCTTGTTTATTGACAACCCCCTCCCCTGCCCCAGGCTTGGGCGTCATCTTCTTGCCCTCCAGCCAAAGAAGAGAACTAGGGGAGCATTTAGCCATTTTGAGGCTAGACTAATGTGAAGATTTGAGGTACCTTGTATATACTGTTAATTATATACTTTTTTCTAGTCCTTTAATGCTAGTTTTTCAGTTTTGATAGTTTATTCTTTCTAACTGGAAAGTTAAAATACTGCCTTTCTTTTAACAGTACTCACATTTCAGACTTGTAAAGCTTCAGCTAGCTTTTTCCCCTTATTCAAGATAGCAGTTGCTTGCACTTAGTAGGAAGGGGAGGTTCTAAAACTCGGGAGTAGTGGAGTAGAAGAAAGACCAAAGTCCCTAAGTGACCCCTTTGATAAGTTTGGTCTCCTCATATTAACAGCTTATAGTTACCTGCCTGTCCTGTTTTTCTTGGTCTTGCAGAATCCAGTGACTGGCTTGCTTCCAGCCAGCTATGATCAGAAGGATGCCTGGGTCCGAGATAATGTGTACAGTATCTTGGCTGTGTGGGGTTTGGGCCTGGCCTACAGGAAGAATGCAGACCGGGATGAGGATAAGGCAAAGGCCTATGAACTGGAGCAGGTACTCAGAATAAATATACAAGGAGATCTGGAGCTGTGTGTGGTAGTGAGGGTGGGAGGGTGGGTTGGGGAGCAGGAATTAAAGGAAATGTAGCTCTAAGGAGCTAAAAGAAGTGTATTTTGCCTTTCTCCCTCCCTCTTCACTTTGTTGAAATTACATTCCAAAAAGCTTTCCTGTATTGTACCAATGTACAATTTTTGATGTAGTGGAAACTTGAAACTTGCTGATTCAGGGGAAGAGGGCACAGTCTGTTCTGTTATAGTGGAAAAGCCTATCCTGGGATCTTTGCTGGAATTTATAATCCTCTTCCTAAGTAAAGGTATTTTGCAGCCTTGAGGATATTTATTCTCATTGAGAAGAATGTTTGGGGGCAGGTATCTATCATTTTACTTCATTTTTAAAAAAATTATAGGTGGTATTTGTATGAGGGTAACTGATACAAATTCGCAGACCTTCACAACTAGACACAAGTAAAGAATTTAGTTGTTGAATTTTATACCTATGACCTCTGTTTCAGAGCCTGTCCCCCTCCCTCAGCAAAATAAGGTCAGAGTCAGCAGATGCCTTTAAGCCAACTTTTAAGGCCCTTCACCTTTATAGAAAGTAGCATCCTTTATAGAACTGTTCAGACAGAAAAAAAAAAAAAAAAAAAGAACTGTTCAGACAGAGGGTGCTGCGTTCTCTTGAGTGACCCAGAAAATGATATTCTGAGTTTCATAGGGTCTCTTAATGTGATACTCTGCTGTCCGTTGTAAGGTACATGTGAACTCTTTTCCATTAGTGGAGAAGATTCTACACCAGCCATTTGCTCAAGTGGTATCCCTCTGACTTAGGCAATCTGAGCTCTAGTCTTCATCTATAAATCAGAATATTAAGGTTTGGTTATTTTTAAAGGGCATCAACATATAGCGGGGTTGCAGTCCCTGGCAATAGGGAAGTTTCACTATATTGTCCTCTGCACAGCAGGTATTCATTATTCCTTCAAGCCATTATTGAGAGGGACTTAGGCCCATCAGAAAAAAAAAACTGTTGGAGTTTTTGCTCTAGCCCAGGAAGTATAGATCAATATTTTTATGACTTATAAAAATAATACATAACTATTGTAAGAATTTGGAAAATATAGAGGAGTATTTTAAAAATCCTGTAACCCTACTCCTCCTCTCACCCCTGAAATTCTACATCCTACTGTAATGTTTTGCTATTTTGACCTCAGTATTTTGTTTGTTTTGCTAGAGATTAATATCAGTGGAACAGTACCCAAGATTCCATACCTAGTACCATTTGACCGATTTTTTTTTCAATACTATTAGAAGAAATCTGTTGTCTCCTTGCTGACATTTTTCCTTCTATGGTCCAGGAAGAAATAATTTAACAGAGGAAGGGGGGGAAATTAAGGAAAGACTGAAATGTTTATTTTTTTATTATGTTCAATTAACCAACATATAGGACATTAGTTTTTGATGTAGTGTTCAGTGATTCATTAGTTGCACATAACACCCAGTGCTCATCACAACACGTGCCCTCCTTAATGCCCATCACCCAGGTACCCCATTCCCCACCCCCCTCCCTTCTGTAACCCTCAGTTTGGTTCCTGGAGTCCAGAGTCTCTCATGGCTCATCTCCCTCTATGATTTCTCTCCCTTCAGTTTTCCCTCCCTTCCCCTATGGTCCTCCGTGCTATTGCTTATGTTCCACATATGAGTGAAACCATATGATAATTGTCTTTCTCTGCTTGACTTACTTCACTTAGCATAATCCCCTCCAGTTCCATCCGTGTCATCCATGTCAATGCAAATGGTGGGAATTGTTTACTTTAAAATTTTAATGTTTCATTAAATAGTTTCTAACATAGCCCAAAAATATTTTTCATACTACCTCAATAATAACTTCGAAATATCTCAAAAACATTACGGCAATAGGAAGCATCTTCAAAAAAGAAACATTTCTCTGGGAATCCTAAAATTTATATGGCCTTTCATTATGAATTAAAACACATTTTATTATTAGGTCTCATTAACTTTTTTTCTCAAACCTGACTCAGTTAATTCAGACCAGGGATCAGAAAACCATCTCTGTAAAGGGCCAGAGAGGAAATATTTTTGGCATTGTGGGTCATGTGTGATCTCTGCCCAAATACTCAGCTCTTCAGTTATTGCACAAAAGCAGCCAGAGATTTATTTACAAAACACGTGGTTAGCTAGATTTGTCCCTAATCTACATGAGTGGTTCCAAACTCTGGCTGTACAGTGGAATCATTTGAGAAGCTTTTAAGAACTACCCTTACTAGACCCCACCCTAGAACAATTTAGATAAATCTCTGGAAGTGAAGCCCTGGTGCATTAGTATTTTTAAAAAATACTGATTCTAAAGTGCAGCTAGGGGTAATAACCACTGATTTGTGGCCAATAAGTGAGTATAGATTAAATCCAGGAAATCCATAGATTAAATTCCCACCTATTCTCAACTCTCCACTACTGTGTGGATTTTCCCAAACCACTGACTGTTAATCATTTTCACCCTTCCTTCCAACTCTCACTTTGGTTCCTCTCTAAGAAACAATATCAGAGAACCAAAGAGAATTAAGAAACAAGGGTTTAGGTGACTATTTCTATCTTAGATTGAGAATATAACTATGCACATATATGTTTTTATAAATGCCCTTTGCTCTTGGTCACATAGATATAGAAATACACCCATAAAAATAAATAGGCACACAAATAGACATAGCTCTTTGGATGCCTTCAGTTCTGCTTCGTCCTCAGTTTTGTTCTCTTTGTGTAGTCTCTTATCTTTTCTCAGGAGTTAACTATTCCCTTTCTAAGGATGACTTCCCAAACTGCATCTTTAAATCTGATCTCACTTGTTTCAAACCCTGATTTTCATTGTCTTCTGCTCAGTTGCACCTGGCTTCTCAAGCTCAGAATGTCTGAAACCCCATGTTCCCTACTAAAAACAATAAAACAATAAAAGCGACCCCCGAAAACAGCAACTCAGCATACATCCTTTATTCTCTTATTGGTGTCCTCGTTCTACCTCATTCACCTGGGCAACATTATTTAGAGAATTTCCCATAGTGTATTCCACAGAACATTAGGTCAAATAAGTTTGGGGATATGTTAAACAGTGGGTTTCTTTACTCCATTATTTCTCAGAGTCTTTGATGTACTAATGTGCATTTCGAATCTAAGCTGAGGGTGGGTTTTACAACCTTTCCAGAATTTCCTGGACTAACTAGTGTTCTATAAAACAGTGAAAAGTGCTGCCCTTAGGGTGATTTTTGACTTGCCCCTTTTGCCTTTTGATACATGCAGGCCAAAGTCTGTTGATTCTTATAATTTTTCCTGAATTCATCTCCTCCTTTCTATTCCCTTCTGCCTCAACCACAGTCTAGACTTTGATCACTTAACACTGTTGTGAAAATTCAAATGATACCATTTGCATCCCCATCAATTTTTCTCTGGCTCTCATTTCCCTACCAGTAAAATCCAGATGTTTGAGATTGATAGGCAAGACTCTCTGGGGCTTGGTCCTAGCCTGCTTTTTCAGTATCGTATCATTCTGGTGCCCTGCATTGTCACCCCCAGTTCCAGCCAGGTTGGTGTCTTCATTACTCCTCTAACAATCCCTTAATAAGAATACCTGACATTTGTGTAAATACTTTTTGTTGTACTACATACTTCCCCATAATTACTAGTATTTTATTCTCACAGGACCCTGTGATTTAGGTATTATCTTCCCCAATTTACAAGTGAAGGGATTGAAGCTTGGAGATGAGGCTGGAATTTGGTGGTGCCATGAACACAACCTGGACTTAATGACTACAGATTAAGTCTTTTTGAATTTTTCCTCCATGGAAGTCATGGACATTCTCACCTTCAAATCTTTTTACAAGTTGTGTCTTCCACCCATAATGCCTGTTGTCTTCCAATCTGAACTACTACTCCCCTTTCAAAGCCCAGCACCACTCCCACTTTTTCTGTGGTTTCTATCCTCATAAGACCACCACTCAATTGTACAGTGACCACTTCTTTCCTGGGACTACTTTCTTGGAATTTCTAGATCACTTGTGGTCTGTACCATTCAACATGTTCACTTTTTCATTTAGCAGACTTTATGTAATTTGTCGTGTGCCAGGCCCTGTGCTAGATATAAAAAAACAAAACGGGACAAAATGTTTATATTTAGCTCTCAACTTCTTATTTTTAAAATTTTTTAATTTACAGAAAAGTTTTAAAAATAGTAAAATGAGCATATTTGTATAGACTCTTTATCCCAATTCACTAAATTGTTAATATTTGGTCATACTTGCAACCGCCCTCTCTCAAAATGCATGTACACACACATACACACACATGCAATTTTTTTGATGACTGATTTGGGGGTTACTTGCAAACATGGAATATACATTTTTAAAAATAAAGCCTGTGTGGGGCGACTGGGTGGCTCAGTGGGTTAAGCATCTGACTCTTGACTTCGGCTCAGGTTAGGATCTCAGGGTCATGAGGGCTCTGTGCTGAGCATGGAGCCTGCTTAAGATTCTCTCTCTCTCTCTCTCTCTCCCCCTCCCCTGCTCCCTCTCTCTAATAATAATAATAATGATAATAATAAGTCTGCTCAGTCCATTGACTTAAAGTTTTATTTCTGAACCTGGTCTCTGTCCCTTTTTCTTAAGGAGTTTATAGTCTAATGGAGGAGACAGATATATAAGCAAATAGTTAAACAATACATTAGGACAGATACTGTAGGCACAATATCTATAGGAGAGAAGTACAATAGAAAGTGCTGTGGGACACAGAGGCAGGAATGTCTTTACTTTGAGCAAAGCAAGGAAGGACGCACAGAGGAAATGGATTTTAAAGGATAACTAGGAGTTGTTAGGTAGACTATATTTGTAGTTTACTTTTTTTTAAGTTTTGTGTTCTGTCTCCCCCTTATCTTTATGTTCCACAGAGTCTGGTAGAGTGTTTTATATATTTTAGATGCCCAACAAACATCTGATTGTACATATACCTGGAGAGAGAGAGAGAGAGAGAGAGAGAGAGAGAGATGAATACGTACATAGATATGGTGGCACTTGATGTGGTTAGAAGCGCTACTATATGAATGAACATGTATAATTAATGCTAACTAGAACACTGAAACAGAAAATGGCCAGTTTGGGGGAACACCAAGTACAGATAGTTTCCCTCATTCCTATCTCCCCATGCTTTCTATTAATTTTATCCTGACTTGGAAGTTAGAACTTGAGAACAGAAATGACTGGCAGTGGCCATTCCAGGAGGACAAAAGTGGAATTAGGAATTCTCCACTGGGTCCATGGTTCCCACGTTTGCTGTTTAAGTTAAAGAAAACATAGGCGTGCCTTGGTGGCTCAGTCAGTTACTCGTCCAGTTCTTGATTTCACCTCAGGTCAGGATCTCAGCATTGGATCATGAGATCGAGCCCCCTGTAGGGCTCTGTGCTGGGCGTGGAACCTGCTTAGGATTCTTTCTTCCTCTCCCGTGGCCCCTCCCTCTCCCTGCTCTCGTGGTCATTCTCTCTCTCTCTCTCTCTCAAAAAAAAGGAAAAGAAAAGAAAATGTAGGTGGCAGTAACAGGGCTTGATGGTAAAGAAAGTTGAAAGAATGTGATAGAAAGCTGTGAGTATGTGGTGACATGTAGAAGATAGTTCAGAATTGAATCAAGTTCCCCGCAGAGGAGGCTGTGTTAAATGCTTTCTCTAACAGGGTATATTAAAAGGATGGTCTCTTTCATTAGGGTCAAAGTAGTGATAGAGATTTTTTTTTTTTTTTTAATTTACGTGACACACAGAGAGAGAGAGTGCACAAGCCGGGTGGGGGGGGTGGCCAGAGGGAGAGGGAGAAGCAGGCTCCCCGCTGAGCAGGGAGCCCGATGCAGGGCTCGATCCCAGGACCGTGGGATCATGACCTGAGCTGAAGGCAGACGCTTAACTGACTGAGCCACCCAGGTGACCCCCCCGTTTTTTGTGATAGAGATTTTTCTTATAGGGGTTGCAATCAGTTTCACTATTTATAATAAATGCTTCATGCTTTAAAAGGTGACGAGATCATATACTGCCTGCCTGCTCTCTCTCGCTCTCTCTCGCTTTCTCTATCTATCTATATATACATACATATATATATACACACACTTCCCTTGCTCTGTAAGGGGAGGGTACCATTTGTAGACAGAAATTACTTAAGAAAGGGAACTCTCCCAAGGAAACACTTTTTATTTTTTCTCAATAAAAGACTACATAAAGACTTGGAGCATAATTTAATAGATACTTATCCTTATCATGCCTGTTGCTTATAGTCCCACTTCAGTGTTTTGAAGGAATGACAGAGTGATCTGGCTCCCAAGCAGATTAGTTTTCAGGGATGTCCTGAAGCCACCTCTGAGCTAGCATTCCCTGGAGTAACCTGGTTGTATTTCTTTTGGACTGTGAAACGGAAAGCTTAAAGAAATGGAGAAGCCATTTGATGCTATGTTTTTCCAAAATATATTGCCTACCCATGCCTCTGTTGATGGGCCCTTCTAGTGTCATTTACTATAACTAGTGTAGCATATTATTACTATACCATATTATAATTAAATATATTATTATTACTATGTTATGCCAACTAGTACAGTATATAGTTGGTGATCAGAATTTTGGAATGTGATTGGAAAACTAAGTGCGTTAGAAATTGCCAAGCCCTAGTAAGAGAGAGAGTGTTGATTTGATAATGAAGAATGGCTGTAGCTTTTTTTCATGGAAAAGAGGTTGAGTTGCACTAACAATCCCCCTTTACACTTATTCTGAATTGAAGTTCATTTATTCTTTAAGGAAAATGTACAGATAAATATTTCTGTGAACTCCTGAAGATAAGTCTTGGCTACTTTAGAAAAAAGAAAATGATGATGTTGGCTTCTCTAGGCCATAGGATCTATGGTAGAATATCCTCATAGCTTTAGGAATTTTGAGCTGTCTTTTCTCCAGGCAGAATGTCCTCTAACAGGATGGTTGGCTTGGTTTTATATAAACCTGTTGGAGCTTGGATTTTTTTTTTTTTTTTGACTTGAAGGAGGCACCAACTGCAGCTTTTGATTCCACTTTTAGCTGCAGTTTAGCTCTTCTGTGTGCCTATAAAGTAAATGCCATGTAAATAGGAACCCTGGATAGGGTTACTTGTTCTGAAAAGGTCATGTACCAACTGCAGTTGCTGAGTAAGTGTTCCTGCATCTAGGGGTGTTTATAACAGTCTTGTTTCCATTTATTTCTGCAGAGTGTAGTGAAGCTGATGAGGGGCCTGCTGCACTGCATGATCAGACAGGTATGGCATTGTTAACAGCTCCCCTGTAATAAAAGCACATTGTAATAGTGTCTCTACCCTTTAGGAATTGTTCATAGCTTATATTCTTTCGATTTCACAAATAGTAGACACTAATTTTAGAAAATTTGTAGAATCGAGGAGGGAAATGTCACCCATGTTCTCACCACCCAGTTACCACTGAAATGTTTCTTTCCAGTCTTTTTTTTCCCCTCTACAAATGCCTTTTTAGTAGACTTCATCATTATTGTACACGCAATTACATACATTGAGTAAAGATGATACAGGCCTGTAAGCCCTCATATGAAACCCTTAGGACCAGATAAATTTTGGAATTCAGACTTTTTCAGATTTTTCAGTACAGCACAGGTACTAGAATATTATGCTCTCAGCAGGTCCAGAACAGCACCGTATCATCAAAAACATTAATCTCTCCATAGAGAAACATGCATTTTCACACTCAGTGAAATAAGAAAAGACTACAAATAGCCCCATGTCAATTTGAATCAAGTGTTGCCACCAAGTGAATTTTGGCACAGAACTTAAAGAGGAAGAACTTTTGTGGCAGTATTTTAGATTTTAGGATTAGAGATTAGTGCCAAAGACTTATATCTGCTTGCATTAATTAGCATTTTCCTGACCTTGAATGAAGTTGAGCATCCTTTCCTGTGTAGATTGAAAACTTGCATTTCCTCTGTTAGTTGCCTGTTAAGTCCTTTGTCTGTTTTTATTTTGGGCTGTCTCTTTCTTGACTAATTGAGGAGTTGCTATACATTATGGATATTAATGTTTTGTCACACACACTGCAAATTTTTTTAGCATCCTATGGTTTATCTCTTGGGTTTATGGTTTTTTTCATTCAAAAGTATTTTACTGAAAAGAAAGTGTTTTGCTTTTATCCTAGGAGATCTTTACACATGCTGCACACATTGAATCTGAACTGACTTTCTTGAGACCAAGATTACATTTTATTAGAAGAAGCAGTCGAGGCCCAGATTAATAAAGTGACTATCCACAGGCATGCAACAAGTCTAAAGTAGAAAGAAATCAACTCCAGACTTCTGAACTTCTTTATCAGTGCTCTCTCGCCTGGGGTAGCTCATTGCCATCATTTTCTTTTTTCCCCTTCTCTGCTCCTTTTTTTCTTTTTGTATTTTAGATATTGTATTTTCTATTTTCCACCTTACCAAATAGGTTTAAAGCCACCAACTTCATGAACCTTATTTAAAGGTATAGTAGTTTCTATCACATATCAGATGCACATACAATGCAACCTCAGTTTCAGGAACAAAGTCTTTCAGTTGGTCCCTTGCACAATGTTTCCTTTCTGACCTCTGGTTTCAGCCTTCGTTCATACGTTTTCTCTGCCACTGCATGTATCTCTCCCCAGCTCTTTTCAGTATTCCTTCAAAATAGATCCCCTTATCCTAATTTCCCTCAACATTCCTCCCTCTGTTTCAGGAACAAAGGAATCTTTTTTACTACTCAGTTGTCTCTTACTAGGCTGTTCACACTCAACCCCTCTGCATCTCAGTTTGTATCTACAGTGTGACAAAACAGCCATCTGAAGAGCAAAAGAGAGGTAGTGAGTAGGAAATAGCTGGCTTTAACTGGCATGAATTTATAATTGAATTGCTTAAATTAAAAAAAAAACAGCAACAGCAGACTTTCCTACTTGCCTTAGTGCGGGAGGGGGGAGTGGGGGGGCGGGGGAGAAGTAACAACGTACTTTAAATATTCACCATCGCCTGAAAACTAAATGCGGTGATACATGTTAGAGTACTACAGAAGGATGGCATATGGGACAAAGTTTCTGCATTGCCTTCCTTTACTGTTCTTGTTTTCTTCAGGTGGATAAAGTAGAATCCTTCAAGTATAGTCAGAGTACCAAGGATAGCCTCCACGCCAAGTACAATACCAAAACCTGTGCCACTGTAGTGGGTGATGACCAGTGGGGACACCTGCAGTTGGATGCTACCTCCGTGTACCTGCTGTTCTTAGCGCAAATGACTGCCTCAGGTCAGTACCAGGACAGAATGGCTGGGAGCCCCTGCAGTGAGGAGCACGTGCTCTGGCACATGTGGCTTCTCCCAAGGTGTTGACCGGAAAACGATATAGCTGTGGACCTTGCTCAAAGACACACAGCGGAAATATAATATTTTGCAAGTTTTTTACAGAGAAACAACTCTCTGAGGTCTAGTTAGTATTCTTTTACCTTGAAAAACAAGTCTGGGGTACTAATTAATTTTTTTAAGAATGGAGAACCAAGAAATCTGGGGTAGATTTTATTTAGGTGGGTATTTTTTATCTTTATCTTTCATTATGCCTCAGATACCATGAAATGGTGACATGGGAAAGAAGGGCTAGGGTTTATTGCTTGTTCTCATGCTATGCACTGACCAGCCTTTAGTAAGTATTAACATAACTGAATCACCTACTTTATACTACTCTTTATGTATATATTATAAACAAGGCATCTAAATTATATTAAGGGAATTAACTTAGGAATCAGAATTCAAATATTGATTTTTTTTATTATTGAATAATATACCCTTTTCAGATGGTTTTGTTATTAGCTTGAGGTGCTTTACCTGAAAAAGGCAAGTGTAAGAACCAACATAATTCCCTTTCATTTCTCCTAACTTGGGGAGGACAATGAATCTGATTATACTCAGTTTGTAAATTAAACAGGACCTTTTCCAGATCTTCCTGAGTAATTAAAATGTACTCAGAATACTACATTTTTGACATTCTAATTTCCCTCTCTTTCTATCTGGCTATAGAACTAAGTACTAAGGGCATTCAGGATAAGAATTGTTCCAGAATATTCTTGTTCTCCTTTTCTTGCATAAATAAATATTTGGTGATAAAGCCTTCCTTTTTTTTCCCTCTGCAGTGCACAGCGCAGAACCTGAATTACCTTTTATTAAAATTATAACATAGCTACCCACATACTCCCATCTTTTGGAGGGGAGGTTCATCCCTGAGTAAATATATTTATAGGTTTTATGCATTTAAATAGAATGGCAGCTATAACTCCATTTCTAATATTCTTTTAGTACCAACTCTGTAGTGTTTTTCTACAAAGCAAACTGTCTAAATATTTCTTATGGTTTTCATTTTGAGTCCAGAAAGGAAGCAGAAATATACTAAAGAGGCTTATATGAGACATACGCATTCAACAAATATTTGTTGATTTCTGACTTAATATTTGATTTTCACCTTAATAAGCTGACTTTGGTAGGTGCTTGGAAAAAAAGATGGATATAATTTGATCAGGCCGGGCACCTAGGTGACTCAGTTGGTTAAGCATCTGCCTTCGGCTCAGGTCATGAATCCAGGGTCCTGGGATCAAGCCCCACATCAGGCTCCCTGCTCAGTGGGGAGTCTGCTTCTTCCTCTGGCCCTCCCCCCGCCCATGTGCTCTCTCTCTCTCTCTCATTCTTTCTCTCTCTCAAATAAATAAATAAATAAAATCTTTAAAAAAATAATTTGATCAGGCCTTTGCAGAATAAATAGGAATAAGTAGAATTTCACAAGTCAGAGAAGGAAAGGGAATAGCCTGGCTACAGCACAAAAGTTGGAAAGATACTGGCCACCAAGGTAAGACTAGTTATCTTCTATGGCTAGAGTATAAAATAGATCTGGAAAAATGCCAAAAGATGAAGCTAGAAAGTTGGAGCTAGCTGTTTAAGGGCCTGTAAATCATGCTAGGTAGTTTGGAGTTTAGTCTATAGTCATCAGAGAACCACTCAAGGTAAACAGTCAAGAAAGTTTCAGATGATTTGCTCAGTTGCAGGAAGATAGATGGAATGGGAGAGAAAATTACGCTGGAGGACTAGTCAGGAGGTTAGTGAAATACTTTAGGCAAGAAATGATGGAGAACATATGTAAGGCAGTAGCCTTGAGGATGAAAAGGATAGATATGAGAGATAATCAGTAGATAACACATGAAAGATTTTATGGAAAATTTTCATCTTTCATGGAAGCAATTCTCTGCACATGTTTGAACTCTTAAAAATCTCAACCTTGGTTAAAAGAGAGGCTTAGACAGAAGCTGACTGCCCTTCCCCCCAGCAAAATAACCATAAATTATGAAAATATAGTTTAAAAAAACCCGACCATTTAGTCACTGGACATTGTCCTAAGGGCATACGGCAAGTAGAGAAACATTTATTCAAGCAAATCTAAATCTTGGTAAGAGCAGTGAGAGTGTGGCATTTAGACCACAACCCACTCCCTCCCTCGCCCCGCTCACCATGACACAAGCACTACTGAGCATGGATGTAGCCAAGAATATAAGGCTTCCTCTTCCCCTAGCTCTTGGTTTAGGGCTATGATCTCTCCCCGAGAGAGGTTGCCAGCATTTCTCATTCTCCCCACCTCTGTGTTACAGAAGCTCTGGTCTAGCCAAGAATAACTAAGAGGTCTGGAACTCCGTTCCTACTCCTCAGTCCCACTCATGGAGCTTAACCCCAGGCAGAGCAGTCCAAGAATAATAGGCCTGGCCCACCTTGCTAGTAGCATGGAAGGAAAGGCAGGCCACATGAACAGAAAAGCTCCATAGTCCCTCTCAAGAAAACTGACTTTATTTGGAACTGACTGTGGGAAAGTTCAAGTCTAAGGGCGCTCTGAAAAACAGTGAAGATTTTTGTTCTAAGAAATTACGAGGCGTCTGATGCTCAATTAGAGCAACACACTAACCCGTAGACTAGCCAGAAGTTTTAGCAAAGAACCAGGGACAGAGACAGCTAAAAAGAGTTATCCTAGGGTTAGAACAAGTGTCAAAGGCTGGCCTCAAAATCCTGAAATGGGTCTTGAATTTAACTGGATGAGACTGTGGAACAATTTTTACTTCAGGGCAATATACAATCAGCTGGCAATTGGTGGAGGTTAACAGCTGAGTATGATACCAACAGAGGCAGACACTTAATAGACCACAGAAGACTAAAACAAAAACTGTGGTCTTCCTTAGGTGACAGTGTGTATGCCCAAGGCTACATCCTCCAAGGAACAGCATCAGAGGCTGCATACTGTGGGAAAAATAGAGTTCATTGAAATTGTCCAGCCAAGTCACTAAACAAATAACAAGTAAACATAAACAAGCCCCATATAGGAGGGTATCGACATATCTATAGAGCTTCTACAACATATTATCCGCAAAATCTAGTTTGCAACAAAGACGTATGACACATGCAAAGAAACAGGGAAGTCTGAGTCAACACACACAAAAAAGCAGGTAACAGAAACTGCCTTTGAGAGGAACCATTATGTTGAATTTAGGAGACAAAGACTTCAAAGCAGTTACTATAAAAATGTCCAAAAACCTAAAGGATACCATGCTTAACAAAGTAAAGGAAAATATGATGAAAGTATTTCATAAAATAGAGAATATCAATAAAGAGATGACAGACCTGTACCTCTGAAACAAATAATACATTATATGTTAAAAAAAAAAAAGAAGAAGAAGATAGCAGGAGGGGAAGAATGAAGTGGGGGGAATCGGAGGAGGAGACGAACCTTGAGAGACTATGGACTCCGAAAAACAAACTGAGGGTTCTAGGGGGGAGGGGGAGGGGGATGAGTTAACCTGGTGATGGGTATTAAGGAGGGCACGTTCTGCATGGATCACTGGGTGTTATATGCAAACAATGAACCATGGAACACTACATCAAAAACTGATGATGTAATGTATGGTGATTAACATAACATAATAATAATAAAAAAAAGAGATAAAAATGAACCAAATGGAGATTTTGGAGTTGAAAAGTATAGTAACTTATTTTTTTTCCAAATTTTTATTTCAATTCTAGTTAACCTATAGGGTAATATTGGTTTCAGAAAAGAATTTAGTAATTCATCACTTACACATAACACCCAGTGCTCATCATAACAAGTGCCCTCCTTAATACATATCACCCATTTAATGCATCCCCCAACCACCTCCCTCCATCAAACCTCAGTTTGTTCTCTGTTGTTAAGAGTCTCTTATGGTTTGCTTCCTTCTCTCTTTTTTTTCCCTTGCCATATGTTCATCTGTTTTGTTTCTTAAATAACACATACGAGTGAAATCATATGGTATTTGTCTTTCTCTGACTGACTTATTTCGCTTAGCATATAGTACACTCTAGCTCCATCCACATCATTGCAAATGGCAAGATTTCATTCTTTTTTGACGGCTGAGTAATATTCCATTGTGTATGTATACACCACATCTTCTTTATCCATTCATCAGTTGATGGACATTTGGGTTCTTTCCATAGTTTGGCTATTGTTGATAATGCTGCTATAAACATCAGGGTATATGTACCCCTTTGAATCTGTTTTTTTTAAGATTTTTATTTATTTACTTGACAGAGAGAGATACAGGGAGAGAGGGAACACAAGCAGGGGGAGTGGGAGAGGGAGAAGCAGGCTTCCCGCGGAGCAGGGAGCCCAATGCAGGGCTCTCCCAGGACCCCGGGATCATGACCTGAGCCGAAGGCAGACGCTTAACAACTGAGCCACCCAGGTGCCCCTTAAATCTGTATTTTTATATCCTTTGGGTAAATACCTGGTGGTGCAATTTCTGGATCATCAGGTAGTTCTATTTTTAACTTTTGGAGGAACCTGCATACTCTTTTCCAGAGTGGCTGCACCAGTCTGCATTCCCACCAACAGTGTACAAGTGTTCTCCTTTCTCCACATCCTCACTAACATCTGTTGTTTCCTGACTTACTGATTTTAGCCACTCTGACCAGGGTGAGGTGGTATCTCACTGTGGTTTTTTGGGGGGGGTTTTTTGTGTTTTTTTTTTTAATTTTTTATTTATTTTTTAGAGAGCGAGCGAGAGAGAAACAGCATGAGAGGGGAGAGGGTCAGAGGGAGAAGCAGGCTCCCCGCTGAGCCGGGAGCCCGATGTGGGACTCGATCCCAGGACCTTGGGATCATGACCTGAGCCGAAGGCAGACGCTTAACCATCTGAGCCACCCAGGCGCCCTCTCATTGTGGTTTTGATTTGTATTTCCCTGATGATAAGT